ACTGGAGTGAGAAACTGGAACCAGGTATGGAATCCAGGCACTCTAATATGGAATGCAGACATCCTGTTAGGCAAAGTGCCCACTCCCATTTTCATGTTAGAATTGTAAACTCAAGTGGCATTACTTACATTGACAGTGTTATGACTACCTATTTCCAAAACTTCAATGTTATCCCAAACAGAAACTCTGTTAACTATTAAACAATGTCTCCTTATTCCCTGCCTTTTCCCCAGTCGCTGGTAATTTCTAATCTACTCTCTCTTTCTCTGTCTCTATGAATTTGCCTGGTCTAAATGATGCTTTTGATTCCATGTCTATAAGTAAAAGAATGCTTGAGCTTGTAAGAGCCTGATAGCCCCAAATCCCCAGGGAACAGACGTGACCCTCCTGAGACTCAGGGAGATGTAGCAGTTTGCTCACATTGACATGGCTGCTTAATAGTCAAGCAGAGTCTCACATGCAAGTTTTCTGGCTCTTCAGGGATCTTGCCACTAAAATGCCTGAAATCTCTAAAATGACAACCACAGAGTAAGAGTCAGAGACTGCCTTGCATTAACAACATGTTTATTGAGCACTTGAAATGTGGCTTGTCTGGTCTGAGACGTACTCCAAAATTCGAGTGTAAAAGTGACAGAGGGATGGGCATTTAGCCCAGGAGTGAAGATGCCAGTTCAGGCACTTGTATGCCACATTGGAGGCCCTGGGTTTGATACTTGGGTCTGGCTCCTGACTCCAGCTTCCTGCTAATGCAGATGCAGGAAGGCAGCAGTGATGGGTCAAGTAATTGGCCCCTTATCATCCATGTGGGAGCCCTGGGATGAATTCCTGCTCCAGGCCTTAGCCCCGTCCAGTCCTATATATTGAAGGCAGTTAGTTGGGGAATGAACAGTGAATGGAAATCTCTCTCCCTCTCAAATGAATAAACAACACATTTAAAACATTGTGTTAATAAAATTTGCATATTTTTGAATAATTTAATGTTGATTCCATTTGAGATGATGATACTTTGTACATACTGAGTTAAATGAAGTAGAATATTAAATTCATTTCACTTACTACTTTTTACTTTTATGAAAGTAGTTACTTGAAAATTTAAAATAAGTGTGTGACTTGCATTATGTTTCTATTGAACATCCCTGGTCTGTAGACTCATACTTGGGAACCACCTCTCCAGCTCTTTCATGCCCTCACCCACCTTTGTCTTCTGTACGTGTTTTCTGCAACTCTCCATGTTCTAGAACTATACACCAGGGAAAAAGAGGGTAAGAGTATCCAAAGGTGACTAAACTATCAAAAACAGTTTGTTCAATTATATTGCTGGTTAAAAATAAAAACAATTAAAATACTTGGAAAGGTATCTGGTGTTCAGCACATTTTCTTATGGGGAAATAACTGTTTAGTAAACATTATTTCTGTCCAAATAAAAGGAAAAAAACAGAGCAACCCTAAAAAACATAGGTGACTTTGTAAGGAGAGTGATGCAACTGGATTCAGAAACATACATAAACTGGACCTGGAGCACTGCACTGATTCCCTCCTCTCTCCACCTCATCTCCAGGGTACACGTAGCTTTCTGTGGGTTCCAGTGTACATGATGATGATAAGGATGGAAAGCAGCAAACTTAGGGAACCCACAGTGTATGCAGGCACTGTGCAGTTCTTTGTATGCATTAGCTAAGCCAATACTCAATCCCCAGTTAATGTAGAATTTTTAAATCTTGTAGATAAAGAAATTGAGCTTTAGATAGGTTTAAAAAATTACCCAAGGCCACATAGCTATTAAGTGGCAAAGCCAAGATTAAAACTGAGCGATTGGGTACTTAACAGTATGCTGTGTAGCCTCATACTGTGTAGGATGGTTACCACCAACAGCGTGAAATTTGCATCTCCTAACATAACAATATATACTTCCTAGGGTTGCTGTGAGGATTAAATGAGGAACTGCAGAAATCTTACCACAGCTCCCGACATAAGCCTGTACTCTGTGGGTGGGAGCTGCTGCTGTTATTATTATCTTTGTTCAAGAGAACAGCTGGACAGAAACTAGTCTTGCTTTCAAATTATCACTGGGAGAAACAAGACTGACAGCACAAATGAGTCCTACAACATTTCTAGGAGGGAGTAATCTCTTGAGTCACAGGTGGCTCTCTGGGGCTCTGTCACTGTGAATGAGGGACAGAGTAGAAGTGTTGGAAGGCAGGCCTTCATCTGAAATGATATATACCAAAATCTCTCCAAGGAATGAATAACACTATTCTGGCACCAAATGTCTGCAAGGTGTCCGGCGCATAACAAATCTTCCCAGGCAGACGAATCAATTAATTCACAGGCTTTTATTGGGGTTCCGCTCCCGGGTGAGGTTCCACGGCCCCAACAGAGCAACAGAGCGGGGGCTGTGGAAGTCACGCGTCAGAGATTGGGAGAGCTCCTTTTATAGATTCAGGGCATGGGGGTTAAAGGTTGAGGCGGGTCTGATCCTCACTGGTTGACCTTCAGGCACCCGCGGAGACCTTGACAAGGACTTTTCTTCCCTGGAAGTGCGGGTAGGGACTCTCCATTCCCGGAAGTGTAGGCCTTCCCTCCTTGCGGATCCCAAAGCTACTAATGTCACCACCCATTTTATTGGCTAAACCACTTTAGCAAGTGTTGAAAAGAGCTCTGAAGGCAGACCTGCAAATTCTGAGTCCTCAAGTGAGACTTTTCTTGTATGAGCTATAATGACAAGTAGTTTTTTACTATAAAAACCAGGAAAACCATATTTACAGTGGATTAAAGAAAATGAGGCTCATTTTTACATCACAGAACCAGATATTTGGACAGGGCTCTCATCTCCAAACTTCTCTTGGCTGCTTCCTCAAGGCTGCAAGATAGGCAGCAAGAGAGGGTGGGGTTAGGAGTAACTGTTAGGGGGTCTGCTCTGTGGGTTTGCGAATATTTGACTCCGAAGAGACATAAGCAATATTTAGCAGGCATCAGAAACACCTTCTTGGGATGGGCATTTGATATGGTTGTAAAGACATCGCTCAGGATGCACACATCCTACCTTACAGTGCTGGTTTGGGTCCCAGCAACTTTGCTTCTGATTCCAGCTTCCTACTAATGTGTACCCTGGAAGGCAGCAAATCATGGCTCAAGTGCCCATCTGAGAGACCTGGGTTGAATTATCTTATTTACTGACTCCAGCCTGGTTCAGCCCTGGCTGTTGCAGGCATTTGTGGAGTGAACTAGTGAATGAATGGTTTCTCTTTGTCTCTCTGTTTTTCCAATAAATAAAAAATGGATTTAAAAATAAAAAAAAAATGTTCTTTAAAGAGCACTACCTCACCCCCAGATATTGGGAGGACATCTCATCAGGGAAACACTATATTATGATGATACATGCATCTATTTTATCAATTCCATTTTATCAACCTTACTACAGAGGAAGGTGCCTCAAGTGTCTCATGTTCGGAAACCTACTGTGGACTTTATCCCGAGTCCGAGCCAGAGGTGAAGGCAGTGGCCAGCTTCCTGAGAAGAAATATCAACCACATTAAAGCTTACATCAGCATGCACTCTTACTCCCAGAAGATACTCTTCCCATATTCCTATAATAGAAGCAGAAGCAAAGACCATGAGGAGCTGGTAAGTACTAGTTTGTTATTATTCTCATTAACATTTCAGAAATAAAATCATACTTAGTTGAAGAATCAAAACCTGTGGGAAAATGTTCCTGTTCAGGACAGATGAATGAATGTTTCACACCATGGGTTCACTCTGTTAAAGGGTGGTCCTGAGGTCAAGGGTCACTACAGGAAGGTCATCAGTGGGCCTTACCCTGAGGACATGATCTTAATTCCAGCAGATGGACTTCCTAAGAAAATATCAAATTTCTATCAGCTCAGGAGGGAACTATTGCACCTGAACTGATCTGCACATGAAGCCACAGGAGCAAAGACAAGAGTCTCTGGAATGGCAGGACTACTGTGTGGTCTTAAGCCTCCTGCGGCAGCCTACCACAGATGAAGTCTCAGCCCCACCCTCCTCGTTTGGTGTTAACTGTGGTGACTGTGGATGCACTGAACCCTCCACCTCTTGAGTTTTGGTCCCATGAAAGTATTTCCACAATGAAGCCAACCTGTTTTGTCAGAATGTAGTGGACAATACCGAAAATTGAAAGAGGACCCATATAGTTTGCTAATCTCTCATCATGTTTTGGTATCAGATGTTCTATGCTTGGGTTGATGGATAAAAGGTAGCTGGTAAAGTTCTCATCCCAGGTGCTTTCCAGTCAATGGAAGTATCATGGCAACAATCTCATTCTTGGGGAAGGACTGATATTTATATAGTAGTTTGCATTTTACAGATTCATTATTTTTCTGCCTCTATTAACAGAATGAAATACAGTGACACTAGGAGTGCTAGCAATTGCTGATGACTAATATAAGTTCACTGCATTTTCTGAAAATAGCTCAATTAGAACACAAACACTTGATATTTCTGATTATTTTTTCTTCTCAAGTGGAAACTTTTAAAGAGATCTTTTTATTGGTGTTATCTTTGAACAAATGAAAAGATATTTATGCTGATTTGGAAAGTAAAATTAGTGGGATTGTCTCTTAGCTTGGATTACTCTCAGCACAAATATTTGTTGAGAATTATTATGTGTAAAATAATGTATCCAAAGAAGCATTAGGTAAGACCCCACTCTTTAAGATAATTCGCTATGATTAGGGAGTGAGACATAAGCAAATGTTACAAGTAGCTACACTGTGAAATAATGTTATGTCTACTACTACATAAGCGAGACTGATGGTAGAACTCACCTGTGGCTGGGACAGCAAGGGATGGCCTCATTAATTCATTCAGAGGGCAATGCTGAGGTAAGTGAGAGGCAAAGTAGTCCCTGTTCTTGAGGAATTCATTCTCTACTGAGAGGTAAAATACTGTAAAGAAACAACCTTAGTAAGTGCAACTGATAACAAAGAACAGGCAGTTGTCAGCCAGGCATTGGAAGAGGATTTCAATAGGTGACTAGAGAAAGGAGGACCTTTCAATCAGAGGAGAGGGCAGTTCTCATAGGAAAGATTTTCAGGGGACGCTGAGGGTGCAGAAGTGGAGCCTGACACCATCCGGAAGTGGAAGAGGTCAGCTCATGAAGGGGGTTGAATTTCAGAATAAATATGCATTGTATTATATAGACCATGGGGTTCCATAAAGCTTATTTTTCAAATAAATGGTGCAACATATTATCCATTGTTATTTCTCCACATTTTTCAAGAGAGTGACACGATGTTAATTCCAATCTCAGAAAAAAAAATTTTTGGAGGAACCTCAGAAGAGATCTCTGAAAGCTGAAACTCAATGCAGTCAAATGGGGGATTTAGTTATTATCTTGTCTCCTACAAGGGCATAATCTTTTGTATTTGATGAGGTTTTTGAAGTCACTAGACATTTTACAAAGGGATACAATTGAGTTTGTGAGAAGGAGGAGAAGCAATTCAGGTATTAGGTGCATGTATTTACGGAAGCTGGATATAAAGTTTGCTGAAATTTTGTGTAAGACTGAAATAACTCCACACTTTTGAAATATACTTCTACTTCACTTTACTAATAACAAGCTATATTTATGAAAAGTCTTGCAAGAATTATTTTTTCTGCAAATTGAGTAACATTTTTAAGGTATTGGAAGAGTTTGTTTAAGGCCATTTACTTCTGATTGTCATACAGTGAAAAATATGTTTTTAGTCAATTTATTCTTCTTCTTAATTTACCTTTAGGACAAATACATATTTTTCACATGCACAGTTTGGTTCAATTAATGTATGGTAGTTTCTTAGAAACCTACTTGTTGTGTTTCAAAGATATACTTCACTGAAATTTCATATCCTATTGCTCCCAGTCTCTAGTGGCCAGTGAAGCAGTTCGTGCTATTGAGAATATTAATAAAAACATCAGGTATACCCACGGCAGTGGCTCAGAGAGTTTATGTAAGTATTTCTTTTTAAGATCTTGCAAAACTGCAAATTTCTAAAGAAATACATGTTGGGTTTTACCATGTGGGTTTAATTTTTACAAACTGCATATTTAAACAGGGCCACATGCAAAAAACTAGCAACCATAACTGCTATGACAGAAGCTGAGGAAAATTATGTTAATGGGTGAATATACTAAAAAGAGTCTAAAATAATATTTAAAGTGTTATACTTAACACTATACAGAAGGGATTACAGAATTGGCATCATACTAGAGAGTCACAAAGGATCAAAAGAACGCATAAGAATCTCAGAACTACCTTGTAAGGCTGTGCAGGTGGTATGCTGCACAAATCTAGGAGATGTCATTTATTTGAGATGCTTTTTAGTGACAGCCTGTGCCACAGTGTATAGCACATGACACAACACAGCTGAATGTCTTTTGTGTATATCACACCAACAAGGAGTTATATGTGGTGAACTCTTTTTTTGATTTTTATTTTTTTAATTTATTAGAAAGGTAGAGTTGCAGACAGTGAGAGAGAGAGACAGAGAGACAGGTCTTCCTTCCATTGATTCACTCCCCAAATGGCCGCTACAGCCGGCGCTGCGCCCATCCGAAGACAGGAGCCAGGTGCTTCCTCCTAGTCTCCCATGCGGGTGCAGGGGCGCAAGTATTTGGGCCATCCTCCACTGTACTCCCTGGCCACAGCAGAGAGCTGGACTGGAAGAGGAGCAACCGGGACTAGAACCCGGCACCCATATGGGATGCTGGCGCCGCAGCCAGAGGATTAGCCATGTGAGCCACTGCGCTGGCCCCATGTGGTGAACTCTTAACGGAGAAAGAAATTGGCTTTGGTTTTTTGAAACTGGAGGGGAGATGGAGAAGAGGAACCGAAAATAAACAAGTTATATGTGTCAGCAAACTATGGCTCAAAGGCCAAATTGAGTCCACTGCTTGTTTTTATATAGCCCATGAACTACAAATGGTTTTTAATTTTTTCATGGCTGAAAAAAATCAAGAGAAGAATAAAATTTTGTGAGACGTGAAAAATTATGACATTCCTATTCGGGTGCACATAAATAAAGCTTTACTGGAACACAGGCAGGCTCATGTATTTGCATATCAGGCATGCTGGCTTTCGTGACAGAGACTATGTGACCCACAAAACCTCAAGTATTGTCTCTCTGGTTCTTTACAGAAAAAGCTCGCCAACTCTGGGGATAAACAATTACACAGTAAAATATAGCATAATCCCATTGATAAGTGCTTTGAAGAAAATAAAATAGGATTATAGGCTTGAGAATGAGGATAGGTGAAAGACACTACTTAGCTTAAGTGGCCTGGGAATGTCTTGGTCTGTAGGTAACACTTCTAGGAGACCACACTGGCAAGTGGCTAACAAGTGTGGAGGAAACCAGAGAGAGGGAGTAGCATTTCAAATGTGGAGTGGGCAGAGTGCAAAGTCCAAGAGTTTTCTTTAACAGGTAGGATCTATAAGGGTATAAAAACTCACATTCATATTATTTCCAATAAACTGCTTAAGCACCACATGCTCAGAACAAAGTCCAGAATTTCCTTCCTCCTGGTTCCAACCCTGCCCCACCCCCAAATGTCAGCCAATTGGTCCACACAGTGTTTGTCTCTAGTGTCCTTGATCCACTCTGCCTTTCCTGACCAAGGACCTTGCTTTGTTACAGAAGAACCTCATACTCATCTTCACTGACAAGAGGGTTCTTGGCCTCCATCCTCTTCTCTCTGGTCATTTGCCAGAACATTAACTGCAGTGCCTCAGGGCTGGAGGAGTTGATGAAGCAACCTTCTGCTATCATGAAATCAGCCCATCTTCACACATTCATTCCTCCAGCATGCATGTAGAAGTATAGGGAAATGGCTGGAAGAATAAATACCGGATGTTGAGCATGGTTTTCACAAACATTTGATGAATGAATCAATGAATGAGTGCCATACCTAATCCGCTGTTGATGGGATATTTTCCAATATTAATCACAAGCAATGCTTCAGTAAATAACCTTGTAAATCCATATATAGGTACAGTGAAGCAAAAATTGTCATTCTTTGCATATTACACAGTTGTCCACCTAGAAAAATGTAGAAAAGCAACCAAAAATATTAGTAACAATCAAAGAGGTGACTAAGGTAGCTCATTATAAAATACAGATAATTCTGTAACATTATATATAAAAATAGTAAGGTAGAAAATAAAGTAGATAGCATTGCCTGCATTAAATACATGTATACCTACAAGCACGTACACACATATGGATTAATTTTAAATTAATATGTGTGTATATATGTGCACACACAAAATAAACTTATAGCAGCTACATGAAAACTCTAGAAAATTTTAGTGGTGTATATAAAAGACAAAAGTAGAAACTGACCATGGCTTTGAGTGGGGAAACAATATACATTTTTTTCTAAAGTAATGTATGTATTCAATGCAATCCTGATGGATACTCAAATAATTCTGAAGTTAATTTGAAAGAATAAATTTGGGGCTGCCTACACTGTGCAGCAGGTTAAACCACCACCTGCGATGCTGGCAGCCTATACAGGCACCAGAGTTCATGTCCTGGCTGTTCCACTTCCGATCAGCTCCATGATAATGTATCTGGGAAAAGCAACAGAAGATGGCCCAAGTATTTGAGTCCCTGCCACCCATCTGGGAGACCAGGATGGAGTTTTAGGCACCTCTGGCTTCAGACTGGCCCAGCTGTAGCCTTTGCAGACATCTGGGGAGTGAATCAGTGATGGAAGCACTCTCTGTAATTCTTTCAAAGAAAAAAAGAAATCTTTAAAAGAGAAAGAATTTGTTAGATGAGTTTTTAAAGTTCTGAAAGGACTACTAAGAATATGTCTCCAATCAGATGTTGGCATGCATTATAAACCTGTAGTAATCAAGATAGTGTAACACTGAACTTGGAAGAGACAGATGAATAAAAATAATGAGTACATAAAGACACTGCGATAGATAAGGAGATCTGCTTATATCATAAAAAAGGCATTTTAGCCGGCGCCGTGGCTCACTAGGCTAGTCCTCTGCCTGCGGTGCTGGCACACCGGGTTCTAGTCCCGGTCGGGGCGTCGGATTCTGTCCCGGTTGCCCCTCTTTAGGCCAGCTCTCTGTTGTGGCCAGAGAGTGCAGTGGAGGATGGCCCAAGTGCTTGGGCCCTGCACCCCATGGGAGACCAGGAGAAGCACCTGGCTCCTGCCATTGGATCAGCGCAGTGCACCGGCTGCAGCATGATGGCCACGGCGGCCATTGGAGGGTGAACCAACGGCAAAAGGAAGACCTTTCTTTCTCTCTCTCACTGTCCACTCTGCCTGTCAAAAAAATAAATTAAATAAATAAATAAATAAATAAAAGGCATTTTAAACCAGTTAAGAATGTTGGAGGGGCTGGCGTTCTGGCGTAGTGGGTAAAGCTGCTGCCTGCAGTGCTGGCATCCCATATGGGCACCAGTTCAAGTCCCAGCTGCTCCACTTCCAATCCAGCTCTCTGCTATGGCCTGGGAAAGCAGTAGAAGATGGCCCAAGTCCTTGAGCCCCTGCATCCACGTGAGAGATCCAGAAGAAGCTCCTGTCCTGGCTTTGGATCCGCCCAGCTCTGGCCGTTGAGACCGAGTGAACCAGTGAATGGAAGCCCTCTCTCTCTCTCTCTCTCTCTCTGTGCCTCTGTCTCTCTGTAACCCTGCCTTTCAAATAACTAAATAAATCTTAAAAAAAAAAAACACACACAAAGAACGTTGGATAATTGAACAGTCAGAAATTAATTGAAACACCTGATAAGATATTTAGAAAAAAACTTCATCATATTAATCTTTCACAAAAATTCCAGATAGATTTTTTTTTAATTTTTTTTATTTTATTTTTTTGACAGGCAGAGTGGACAGTGAGAGAGAGAGAGAGAGAGAAAGGTCTTCCTTTTCTGTTGGTTCACTCTCCAATGGCTGCCGCAGCCGGCACACTGCAGCCAGTGCACTGCGCTGATCCGAAGGCTGGAGCCAGGTGCTTCTCCTGGTCTCCCACGCGGGTGCAGGGCCCAAGCACTTGGGCCATCCTCCACTGCACTCCCGGGCCACAGCAGAGAACTGGCCTGGAAGAGGGGCAACCAGGACAGAATCCGGTTGTGCCAGTGCCGCAAGGCGGAGGATTAGCCTATTGAGCCATGGCGCCGGCCCTCCAGATAGATCTATTATTTTAATATAAACACCCTCCCATAAACTAAGTTGAAAGCCAAAAACCAAATGAGACAAAAAATTTTCCACATATTATACAGGGCTAGTAACACCAACATTGATTTGGTAAGCAATCTTTAAAATAAACCACAGAAAAATGAGCAAGGATAATTGACAGAAAAATAAAGATGGATAATACTCAAAAAACAGTTCAACTCTGTGATAATGAAAGAAAGATAAGATAACGATATTATTTTTCACCCATAAAATTGCTGGAAAGGATAATTTCTGTGGATTGTGCTGGAAGGGGAAGGAGGCATACTCAGACCCTGCGAGTGGTAGCATAAATCGGCTCACTGCTTTTGAAACGTATCTGGGAACAAGTATGGTAAAGCCTAAAAGTGCTTACCCTTAATCTAGAAAGCCTACTGGAAAAGAATATTCTAAAGAAACAAAGCAGTTATGTGTCAACAAGGGTAGGTTGTAGTAAAATTGTTTATATTAGTAAAAAATTGCCTAAAATCTAATTATTTAAATTGATTATATCTAGCTTTATAATGCAATGCTACGAGATCATTAAAAATAAGGAAGCAGGGCCGGTGCCGCGGCTCAATAGGCTAATCCTCCGCCTGCAGTGCCTGTACACCGGTTTCTAGTCCTGGTCGGGGTGCCAGATTCTGTCCCGGTTGCCCCTCTTCCAGGCCCGCTCTCTGCTGTGGCCCGGGAGTGCAGTGAAAGATGGCCCAAGTACTTGGGCCCTGCACCCCATGGGAGACCAGGAGAAGCACCTGGCTCCTGGCTTAGGATCAGCACGGTGCGCTGGCTGCAGTGCGCTGACCGCAGAGGCCATTGGGGGGGTGAACCAACAGAAAAGGAAGACTTTTCTCTCTGTCTCTCTCTCTCACTGTCCACTCTGCCTGTAAAATAAATAAATAAATAAATAAATAAAAAATAAAAATAAGGAAGCAAATCTGAACTTATCAATTTAAAAATGTTACAATGATTGTACTTACAAACTGTATACATAGTGTGATCTTATATATTTAGTAAAAAAAAGAAAAAGAAAAAATCAGGGAGTCTGTACTGGGAGGAAAGCCGCACTAAAACATTACTGGTAAATATCATTGCTTGGTAGGATTACGACTAATTTTTGTTTTCTTCTTTCTCGTCTTTTTCTTTAGCCTTCATTTTGCTACAAGAAATTTATGTGACTTAATAATTTTAAAAAATATTTTTCATTAAAAAAAATCCTATTGCAAAACACCTATATCCCAAAAGACAATTTCCTTTTTCTTTCAGACCTAGCTCCTGGAGGTTCAGACGACTGGATCTACGACTTAGGCATCAAATACTCATTTACAATTGAGCTTCGAGACACTGGCAGATACGGATTCCTGCTGCCGGAGCGTTACATCAAGCCCACGTGCACAGAGGCCCTGGCCGCCGTCCTGAAAATAGCTCGGCACGTCATCAGGAACCTTGGAGGCCTCTGACGTGGTGGCTAGGCTTCCGTATTTTAATCCCCTGATCCCAGCAAGGCCAAACCATTGTCCAGTGTCTTTCTAAGCTATCAGTTTTGTGAAAATGTTTTCCCGGTCTGTGGTTTTGTCAAAGAACAAAATAAACGCTAATTTGAAATGAAGGCAGACAAAGGCCCAGGGGTATTTTTATCTTTTTGAAAAAATCTGGATATGGCTAGGTGCTGATTTTTTCCTTCAACTCCCACGCCTGACTAGCCATCTCAAGTAATTCTACTAACTAGCTTCCTGCAGATGACTGGATTCCAAGCATCAAAAGGAAATGAGGTCAGGAATACACGAACGATTTCTGTTCCTGGTTTCACTACATTTCTGCCTGCGCCTTTAAAAACACAACTCTGCATCCCTTGGGCTCCACAGTAACATGCGATGGCCCAGCAGGGGAGCGGTGCCATGAACAGAAAAATATCGCCTCTGGCTCCATCTCAGCGCCGCATAACCGAGTCGAACTTCCGGACATTCCACGTCTGTAGTTACTTTCGAGAGCAAATGTAGCACTTTGAGCACTTAAACAGGTGTTGCCTGTGAGAACTTATGCAACAGAAACAGCAAACACCTCTTAAATTCACCTGTCGGTGGGAAGGTCCCTAGTCCGGGATCTCCAGCGCCCAAGACGACTCCACAGCAGCCCACTGACGTCACGTCGAGGGGCGTGCCCAACGAGGGGGCGGTGCCTGAGCGCTGACGACTAATCTGGCGGCCGGAAGCGGCCTCGCTCTAAAGGAACAGGGCAAAACCCTGACTTCCGGCGGCATTTTGAGGCGGTCCTCCTAGCGGCCTGGTAGTGTTTTTGTTGCCTTTTCTTGCTCGCCAATGTCTTCATTCTTTTTCTTCCTGCTTTCCTGTGTCGCTTGATCTTGGCAAGGCGGCGGGCGGCTTTTGCTTTTCAGCCGCCCCGGGAGCCCCTCGCTAGGCGAGGGCCGGTTCCCGGGAGCCGCGCGTGCACCTCTTTCTCTTCATCGTAGTCCTCCCGGGGCCAGGCGCGGGGACAGAGTCGCCTTCCCCGCTCCCCGGAACGGAGGCGGCGGTGGCGCCCCCGGATTGCGCTTGTGAGGGGAGCTTGAGCAGCAGGTAGGCTCTTTGGGAATTGGTGTATCTGGGGAAAGTCCGTGAGCACACCAAGAATTGGGGGGCAGGCGGGGAGCGAGTTGGCCTTTTTCCCAGCTAGGGTCATGGGGGGATGTTGAGCACCCCACCTTTAACACTGCAACAGCTCCCTGTGCTGAGATTTCGTTTCTTGCTGTAGTTAGGATTCTGGCGATGGTCCAAGGAGGACAGTGCGACTGAGACAAAAGGCTGTGTCCCTCACTGCCATGTAATGTAGGCATGGAACTTTGCACCGTGTTTGGTTTCTGTGCAACGGAAGGGTGCAGCAGGATTAGATTCTTCCTCTTTGCGCATTCGAGACCTGTTAGAGAAAAAGGGGCCCGGCGTTCAAATGTGTTTTGTCTTGCGTGTCTCCCAGCAGCGTTAAAGACAGGTGCGGGGAGTTGAGGCGTGCTACTTTATGCTCAGGTTTCCCGGGTAGTTACTTTTTGGCAACTGTGTCTGGAACGGGGAAGGTGGAATCAAAGGAGAGTGACGTTTGGCATCATCTCTTCCTAATAGGGTAGCATAATTTATGCGGCTGAAAAGTTATTTGGAGCAGATAACGAAGGCTACGAGGCTTTCAGATGGCTTGACCTACTTTGAAAATTACGGGTCTGGGCAATCTCTTAAAGAACTACCTTAGAAAAGATCCTTACACCTCAAGTTTTCAAGTCCGTGATACTGTTGCAGCACATGTGTGTGTATATCGATAAATGGTTGTGCAGTATAGCCTGTATATATAGATGTAGATATACATGCAGATAAATCTGTATATATAGGGATGCTAGCTTTAATAGTTTCGCGACGTATTTGGGAGTTTCGTGGGCACAATCTTTAGATTTTTAAATAGACTCCAATTTCTTAGTGAAATATTCAGATTGTGGTAGATAACAGTTTCAACAACAGACTAAGAAAATTGTTGCCGGTATGTAGCGGTTTGTATCTATGAAAATAGGTCACGCCTTCGGGCGGCGCTTGCGGGCCTTTGGGGACTGAACCAGCGAATGAGAGCTCTGCCTCTCAAAAATAAATGTTGCATTGTGAAACTAAGACTGTGTGTGTATGTGATAGGATCCAGTTTTATCAAATACAACAGGAAATTGGTAGAAAAATTAAAGGAAGTTTATTTTGGTGCAAAATCTTATTGCAATTCATGTTTTTCATGATAGGCATTGTTCATGAATTTTTTGAAGACTCCTCATTTGTGCTCCTATTGCCTTTCTGATTGTTAGTGATTCAAATTTAGTATTGATTGCAAACTTCAGAATATGCAAACTTATCTGATTTTTCTGTCTCTACTATAAATTAAAAATACTAAAATCCAGCAAGTGGATGCTTTATTAATTTCTATATAATAGGCTATTAAATTTTGATGAGTAATCATTAGTTTACATTATAAAATGAATCATTTACATATAGAAGATGGAATTATATTTATTTGAAAAATTGACTTCAGTAGATGTTAGTCTCCCCCTTCCACAGGTGTGTACATGTGTACATGCATATGCATTTAAACTGTCTCATAGGTGAAACTATTTTGTTTTTTTTCACCAGATATTTAGTAGCAGGTGAAACATTAACTCCTGTTGATATATAAAGTCTCTTTTATTCTTTTTTTGGTAATTTTGTTATGTCACAGTTCTGTATACTTCACTTTATGGTAGTTGCCAGCATGGAATATTCTCTGTGAGCAGTCTTTTCAATAATTTTTCCCCCTGAACAGTGCTACAGTATTGCCTTGCTAGTACCTGTGTATTCAGTTTAGCTCTGCCTGTTTGCAATTGTCTGAAGTTTACAGGTGTGTAACCTGGAAGGTTGTTTTTAGAAAGTTCTTTTATTTTTTTCTAAGTATTGATTTATTTACTTGAAAGGCAGAGTTATAGAGAGGGAGAAAGAGACAGAGAGATAAAGAGACAAAGAGAGACAGAGATCTTCCATCCTCTGGTTCACTCCCCAAATGGCTGCAACAGCTGGAGCTGGGCCAGTCTGAAGCCAAGAGCCAGGAGCTCCTTCCTGGTCTCCCATGTGGGTGCAGGGGCCCAAGTACCCGGGCGCATTAGCAGGGAGCCTGATTGGAAGTGGAGGAGCCTGAACTAGGAATGGGGTCCATATCAGATGCCGTCACCGCAGGTGGTGACTTTACCCCCATGCCACAGTGCCAGCCCCTAGATAGCTCTCTTTAAAAAATGATCTCAAACTGCATCTGATAAATATAGCTTTTTTTCCTGTTAAGAATATGAAATACAAAAGTGAAGAGACTCTTATTTTTTATTTTTTTAAGAATTTTTCTATTTATTTGAAAGAGCTACAGAGAGAGGTAGAGCCAGAGAGAGAGGTGTTCCATTCTGCAATGGCCAGAGTTGAGCCATTCTGAAACCAGGAGCCAGGAGCTTCTTTCAGGTCTCCAATGAAGGCACAGGGGCCCAAGGACTTGGGCCATCTTCTACTGCTTTCCCAGGCCACAGCAGAGAGCCAGATTGGAAGAGGAGCAGCAGGAGACTCGAACTGGCGCCCTTATGGGGATGCTGGCACTGTAGGCTGGGGCTTTAACCTGCTGCGCCACAGCGCTGGCCCCTCTTATTTTTTTTTTTTAAAGTTTATTCAGAGATCTTATTTTCAATATAACCCTTTTAATCTTAAAATTCAGAGGATAGAAATTTATCTTACAACTAGTTAATACTATTATGTAGCTTTAGTTGCTTAATTGTTTGACAACTTTCTAATGTGTTGCTTTTCATTCAGATTAAAATAGTTTATGCTTCTGTTTTATGCTGGTAAGTGAGACTTTGGGAAGATGTAATTATAGATTGGAGTAAAAATACTAGAGCTGGTACATGTTTTATTGGCAAGATTTTAGTAGTTAGACTTCAGAATAAATTATTCAGAAAGGGGCACCTAAATAATTTTCTTATCAGCTGTATCCATAGTGAACCTGGGAGTATCTTGTAATACCTAAGATTCCCTGGGCCAGGGAGGAATTCCTATTTATTAAGACCCTCATGTTGTCATTATTAATAGACTCAAACTGTGCTGGCTTTTCTTTTCTTTTTTTTTTTTTTTAATTGAAAAAAGATTATAAAAACTTCAGGTATTTGTTTATTCTGCAAATGGAGAAGAGAAATAGGAAAATAATTTAACAGACTTTGACCAGTGACATGCTGGCCTTGGTAATTCTTATATTTGGGAAAGACATGGTGAAGTGCATGGAAATGTGATGCCAACTTAAACTGAGGAATAATTTGAAAGCAGAAATGGAGAAAAACTTTCAAAAAAGTGTAAATTATTAAGACCTCGGTGTATAGTCTTTGTGCTGAGGAAGACTTTAGTATTTACATTTTTATCTTATTTTTCCTAACTTTTCTCAAATAATTTGAAGCACTCATTGAAGCCTGTTCAAATGTAAGTTGAAAAGTTTCTCCCCCTTCAATGAAATCTATATTTTATTCTGATTTAGTATTCATCTTCTTTTGTGTATCCAAAATTCTAAATAATAATATATTGATGGATGGAGTTTGTTAGCAGTCATGGAGGGGAGGGCTGTTACCAGAAAGAGTTTCATGGGTTCTTTTTCTCAGCTCCATGTAGAAATAAAAAGCCAGGGCATCTGGTCTGAAAGGAGACCAGGTGGGGTGCTCAAATGGGACACTGGCTTTGAGGAAGTGCCCAGGGTTTTTAAGGCATTACTGTCTCTTCACTGGGTCACTCTATGGGGGTGCCCAATAGACGGGAGTTTGACATATGGTATGTTGTCTGGCTTTGGGCTCATGGAGATAGCAGAGTCTCTCGGAGAGAGCCCAATTCTCCTTAGGGGCTCAGCCCCCGCTTCTGCTATCTCTGGGTGGAAAGATTGCAACTAACTTGAAGATGTGATTTAGGACTGCAAGGTCACACATGCAGCACAAGAAGCCATAGTGAGGGAGATGCCGGCAGGTCTGGAGACAGGCTTTCCAGCCACATCTGGCAGCTTGCTTGTGAAGGACATTCTGCCTATGTCTGAGAGGCCCCCAGACCCCTAGCCCCACTGGAGGGCCTCAGAATTTTAAGTTATATATTGTGTACTTTACAAGCATAAAATGTTTTAGTTATATAAACTCATGAATGTCTAATGCTTAGGTAACTTTGTAGTGCTGGCTACTGATAGGATTCCTAGGTTAATGTCAGAAGATTTCTTTTTAATTAGAATTTTATATATATATATATGTGTGTGTGTGTGTGTATAATTATTGGTTCAGGCCCTCCTGTAACCTGATCTGGTGCTCATATACAGTGTCATTTTAGGGCAGTGTCTGACACCTGTGCTGTGAAAGAAGAAATAAAGTGTATCTTTATTTCTTTCACCCCCACCCTTTTAAATTGGAAGACTCAGCAGTAGTCACTGTGTAGGACATATTGAGTAGTAGTTCCTAATTTGTAAGTTTGTCTGAGGAACAACTATTTTAGCGTTGAAATTACAAGAGTGAGTGGTGTGAGCTTGGAGCGTTGATCTGCACTTGATTGTCTTTGGCATAGCAGTCGAAACCTTGTGAAATCTTCAGTTTGTGAGGGACTC